ACCAGATGACCTGTCCATAATAATTGTGTGTCTTCATCTTCTCAGAGGCCCCGTGCCCATATGCACGTGTCATTGAGGTACACTCTTGGGGGATTTGGTACACTCTAACGGATGTCTAATGTTCAACCCCTCGAGAATCTGAACTTGATTCCCCAAATTGTCAAACTACTGGTCAGCTATTGAAAAATTTTAGAACTCAGGTCTTCGATTTGAAGTAGGGAACATAGTGGCTCACGCAGAGTTTAGGTGCTGTTAGAAAGATGGGAACAAGAGTGTTTTGCCACCTTATTTTTATATGGGAATTTTTTTTTTAAATGAAGAAAAAATGAAAATGAAATAACCCAGGATGATAGTGATGAATGATGTAAAATATCTTACTCAGACGGCAGAACCTTCAGGCTATAGAATAATGATGTCCAAAAATTAAAGTTATTTTGGGAATATACCACTTTAATAGTATAGTCTCATAAAAATTATTATTTATCGTGAACCCCTTTCTTGTCTGCTATTCGTTTCCCACCCTACTTACTGGAACTCCCTCAAATCCCAGTTCTGAAATCACCTTACCAAAAGTAAATGTATTTACTTTTTAGTCAGCAGAACTCTGTAATTCCAAATGTTCGTCTGTGTGCTAGAATTATTTTCAGGAACCATTAGGTTGTATTGAAAATCTTTATTATAGTCAGTACCAAAACTGATTATTATTTTTTGCAGTCTCCTTTAATTCATGTCCTTTTGTAGTTGCCCTGTATTAAAACAGAGGGTAAAAAGGCCATAGCCCATTATGAAAAATATGATACAAAACTCTTTGACCTATGAGGTAATTTACAGACATTGTGTTTTCTAAACAGGCTGTCGGTGAAAGCCAGTATCTGCTTCCAGGTGAATGTAATCCACTTCCGAGTACTTTACCCAGAGGATGTGTTCCCTGGGTGGGCAGAGTACAGTTGATCTCTAGCATAGAGATTCTGGCCTCTGCATATTCTCAGGTCTCTGTGTGTACCTCCCATTGAATAGAGAAGCTTAAGATAATTTCTGAGAGAAGAACACTGCTGATTATGGGAGCAGTTTGGGAGTCCATGGAAAAAAGAAAAATACATGTGTCTTGGCAGCTACCGTATATTTCAAATGGATTGGAAGGATATTTGAAAATTTGAATGTGGGTATGATGTAAAGCTGCAGTGCACTATGAAGTCAAGTCATTGAATTACCACTCCTGATACAGGGCTTTATTGTACTACTGTGAAGTGTATGTGTGCAATACATTGGTGAGTTCATTTACTGGTGTACGGAAGAGCTAGCTGGAGCAGTGTGGTCATTGCTGGGTGCTATTACAGGTGCTTGTAGTGAGTGCTTCTTTCCAGGAGATGGAGCCAGTTGGGTGTGGCAGATCTACTGAATATCAAATGATGCTCTTCTTCCCATTTAGACCTTTAGCGAAAGCTGGTACTTGGAAACCACAGGCTCACCTTCTCTGTCTATCCAATAATTATTAATGAAGAGACCTCCATAAGGGAGCAGCTGGCTGTTATCGATAAATGTACCAATTATTAAATAATTAGTCTCCAAGCCATTCAGTGATGTCTTCAGCATCACTATAGAACTGTCTTGTGTCACTTTTTACTTCCTTCTGGGTGGAGGCTTTCAGACTCCCAATCATGAAGGCAAGTTAATCTTTCTCTCCAGTTAGTGACTTTTGCCCCATAGTTGGGTAAGCACTTCCTAGATTGAGAAAAAGCAGCTACAGTCAATCCTGCTCTGTTTCCCTCATTTGGTGATCAGTCAGTCACACATAAGCTCCTTGTATTCTAAATTTCATGCACTTCTCCCAGATGCTATAGGGTTTTCTCTCACTGTTGCCAATGGATGTCATCCAGACAGTGGGCTCATATCTTATGGTTTTGTGCAATCACTGTTGTATTGTAGTCCTAAGACTCATTATAGTGTATTTTTGATATTTTTGAAATGTGTTAAATTTTTTAATTCAATAATATGAGCCAGAGCATGTTGCAGCAAATCTATTGTTTGTAAAAATAACAATAACAATAATAAATAAAATAAAGTGGAATCTCTTTTTCATGGCTTTGTTTTAAAATGGAGTGCTTGTTATTTCGTAAGTATTTTAGCATGAAGCTATAATTTTCTCTCCTAACTTGTTTGTAGAATTGGGTTCTTAACCAAAAGCACCTGCAGGATTTTCCTGGGGAAGATAAGTGAGAACAAGCACATTAAACCACATTCCATGACACTGCAAAGCTATGAGTTAAGGTAAGAATAAATATTTTTGATCAGCTTTTAAGCTGAAATGGCAATACAGATTTTTACTTCATGAAACACTATGTTTTGCCTTGGTTTATGTGCTTACAGAAATCACAGAGCCAGGAAAAAGGAAAAAAATCAGGAAACACTGTCCTTATTGACATGCAGGTTATTAGCTGACTACCAGAAACTCAATTGTAAACAATCCACAGCTCCATCTAAATGACAGCTGATGACATCGTGGAAAAGCCGGTCATTATGTTTTTCATGACAGCTTTGGTGTAAGAAGGAACTTCAGAGTCTTGGCTCATGAGCTACTTAGAATCTAGTTAAGCCTCTAAATTGTTGCTCGCCTACCTCCACTCCCGTGGGTGTCTCCCATAATCTCTGGACTTTGAAGCAAGAGTAGCTACCTCTCAACTGATTGATTGAGAGGTTGGGTCAGGGTCTTGCTCTGTTGCCCGGGCTGGTGTGATCTTGGCTCGTTGCAACCTCTACCTCCCATGCTAATGCGATCCTCCCACCTTAGCCTCGTGAGTAGGCAGGGCCATAGGCAAGCACCATCACACACAGCTCATTTGTAATTTTTGTAGAGACATGGTTTTGCCATGTTGCCCAGGCTGGTCTCGAACCTCTGGGCTCAAGAGATCTGCCTGCCTTGGCTTCCCAAGGTGCTGGGATTACAGGCATGAGCCACTGCACACTGCCTGCTACCTCTCATTTTAAATAAAGGTCAAGATAAAGTCATTTATAGGTTTCCTCTTCATCTACCAGAAGGAACTTTATTTATTTTTTGAGACAGAATCTTGCTCTGTCACCCAGGCTGGAAGTGCAGGGGCGTGATCTTGGCTCAGTGCAACCTCTGCCTCCCGAGTTCAAGCTATTCTGCCTCAGCCTCCCAAGTAGCTGGGACTAGCACTGCCATGCCTGGCTAATTTTTTGTAGTTTTAGTAGAGACAGGGTTTCACTGTTACCCAGGTGGGTCTCGAACTCCTGAGCTCAGGCAATCTGCCCTCCTCGGCCTCCCAAAGTGCTGAGATTACAGGCATGAGCTACCGCGCCCGACCGTTTATTTTTTTTGAGTCGGAATCTCGCTCTGTCGTCCAGGCTGGAGTGCAATGGCGTGATTCCAGCTCACTGCAACCTCTGCCTCCCAGGTTCAAGCGATTCTCCTGCCTCAGTCTCCCAAGTAGGTGGGATTACAGGCATGCGCCACCACACCTGGCTAATTTTTGTATTTTTAGTAGAGACGGGGTTTCACCATGTTGGCCAGACTGGTCTCTGACCTCAGGTGATCCACCCGCCTCGGCCTCCCAAAGTGCTGGGATTACAGGCGTGAGCCACCATACCTGGCCAGAAGGAACATTTTAAACACTTGGTTCAACAACTATTTATTGAGCACCTTCAACATGCTTTTATACCTCAGTTCCACCAGACACACACCTCCCTCAGCCAGCATGGCAGAAATGAATCAGTGTCATGCGATATAAATTCCCTCATACACCAAAGGCCACAAGAGTATGTCAGTCACTCAGAACACCTTCCAGCGTGTGATTCGGTGGGCCTGAGTTTTGCCTCTGCTACTTAAAAGTTTTGTGACTTCAGGCAGTTACTTAACCTCTCTAAGGCTGTTTTTCTCATTAAATGTTAATATCTTTTATCAAAGGACTTGTTTATCATGATACTGTACATACCACCTAACCTTGAACCTTGTCTCCTCATCTGTAAAGTGTGAACAGTACACCTTGGCCTGACTGACAAGCGGTAGTAAGAGGTTTGCTAAAGCATGGTGAACGTTATAAAGCCGTAAGAAGTGGGAGTGGTGTTGTTACAGTGATGGTTCCATTCCCTTGAGAGGAGCTGCCATCTGGAGCAGTACTGGAGTTGGACCTGGGCACAAGGTTGGGGTCAAATAGGCCAAAGTCTCCATTTTATCAAGCACAGGACCCAGACGTGGGCAAGGATCTAACAAGGACCTATTTCAGGGAATACGTGCTAGGTGAGACTAGCGGCTGGGCTTGGTGGTATTTCTCTGGAGGGTAGGTGGAGAGTGGGTCGCTTGATTCTGGCTGCAGTTAGACTTCTCCTCTACCACTCAGTGAAAATTGTGTGGGACTTAGCCACTGTCTTGGGCTAAGGGTGATGGAGTGGAGACACTTTTCTGTGTTTTTATTTTTTTTTGAGACAGAGTCTCACTCTGTCACCCAGGCTGGAGTGCAGTGGCGCGATCTCGGCCCACTGCAACCTCTGCCTCCCAGGTTCAAGCAATTCTCTGCCTGAGCCTCCCGAGTAGCTGGGATTACAGGTGCCTGCCACCAGGCTGGCTAATTTTTTTGTATTATTTGTAGAGAGAGGGTTTCACCATTTTGGCCAGGTTGGTCTTGAACTCTTGACCTCATGATCCACCTGCCTTGGCCTCCCAAAGTGCTGGGATTACAGGCGTGAGCCACCGTGCCTGGCCAAGGCACCACAACTTTTAACCTAGCAATGTAGATATCCAGTTGATTATTTTCCAAGCTTTATTTTTATAAAAGTACAATCTAGGTCTTTTCCGCTTAGGTAGGAGGCTTAGCTTCAATCCTTTGTCCTGAACAGGTTCCATAAGAATTCACTAGTAAAGAGCAAGAGGACAATTAGAAAAAAGAACATAACGAGAATGTATATTTCTAGTTGCCTGTGATTTGAACTAATATATTTGGGACTAGCTGTAAAGTATAAGAATAGGTATAAAACACGCAAGATTAAAATTACTAAAAGAACTTTATTTTTAAGATTCAGTGTTAGTGATCTGTTAGATTATGAGAGCAGTCCAGGGTAATGAGATTACTAGCTACCTTTGAAGGCCTACTCTATGGAGCACTGTCAGGAAATGCAGAAATGAAAAAGCCTCTAGTATGCCTTCATGGTCTAATAAAATCAACTGTCCTATCTTTTTTGTTGTCGTCACTGTTGTTTTTGAGACGGAGCCTCGCTCTGTTGCCCAGGCTGGAGTGCAGTGACGTGGAGTAGAGTTTGCTCACTGCAAACTCTGCCTCCCAGGTTCAAGTGATTCTTGTTGTTTAGCCTCCTGAGTAGCTGGGATTACAGGTGTTCACCATCAAGCCCAGCTGATTTTTTTTTTTTTTTTTTTTTGAGACAGAATCTCGCTCTTGTTGCCCAGGCTGGATTGCAATGGTCTTGGCTCACTGCAACCTTTGCCTCCTGGGTTTAAGAGATTCTCCTGCCTCAGCCTCCAGAGTAGCTGAGATTACAGGCATCCGCCACCATGCCCAGCTAATTTTTGTATTTTTAGTAGAGATGGGGTTTCACCATGTTTGCCAGGCTGGTTTCAAACTTCTAACCTCAGGTGATCCGCCTGCTTTGGCCTCCTAAAGTGCCGGGATTACAGGCGTGAACCACCACGCCCAGCAATTTTTTTGTATTTTTAGTGGAGACAGGGTTTCGCTATGTGGGCCAGGCTGGACTCAATCTGCTGACCTCAAGTGATCCGCCCACTGCAGCCTCCCAAAGTGCTGGGATTACAGGCATGAGCCACCACGCCCAGCCTCAATTCTTTAACTTTGCCGCAGTCCAAAGAGAGCATTTGTAAAGTCAAGTGTGTGAAAACCATAGTTGTCTAATGTGGGGTTTTAAAAGACCTGTCTTTTTAAGAGAAACAATGTGGGTTCACACTTAGGTCCTGGAAGATCTCAAACTGTTCCAGACCACAGGTATTCCGGTGCCTCACTGTAACTCCTGGGCTGTTCTCGGCTGCCTTTGTAGCGCTTCTGTTCTCGGTAGCTACGCAGGGCCAGCACCACGCTGGCGCCGTACATGATCACCAGAAGACAAGCAAAGGTGGCTGCTGCTCCATCAGTGCCTGCCAGCTGGCAGTTCATCCAGGTGAGACCCCTGCGGGCATAGAGCCTCTCTCTTGTTTTGCAAGTGTCGGTGCTATTGATCTGCAGAGCCACGTGGAGGTAAACACCAATGCCTGTGCAGTAGCCCACGGCCGCTAGGAGGCTGAAGGCGGCCTCCGTGAGGAGCCACTTCCCTGACAACATTGTTAGACTCTTGGCTCCTTGGAGTAAGACGCCCATGGTGAGGACCCCCAACCCCAGAGAAACAGCCACGCCACCATATATCAGGGGCGACCGGAGGATCGTGTACTGCTGGTCCAGCTGCCGAACCTGCTCTAGCTCAGTGCCCTCGAATGGTGAGTAGTAGTTGTTCCCAAAGCCACCGCCACTGGAAAAGCTGGCACTGAATCCGGCAAGGACAAAGTAGGAGGCCACGATGCATATGAGAACCATCCCATTCAAGACCACCTCCACTATCTGCACCACACCTAGGAGAAGAGAGATTCGGGCTTTAACACTGACATTACGCAGCCTGGCCAAGCCAGAGACATACCACAGGCCACCTGATTTTAAGGACGTGGTCAATTCAATGTCAACATTTTTTTTTTTTTTTTTTTTTGAGACAGGGTGTTACCCTGTCACCCAGGCTGGAGTGCAATGGTGTGATCTCGGCTCACTGCAACCTTCACCTCCTGGCTTCAAGTGATTCTCCTGCCTCAGCCCCCTGAGTAGCTGGAACTACAGGCACATGCCATCATGCCCGGCTAATTTTTGTATTTTTAGTAGAGACAGGGTTTCACCATGTTGGCCAGGCTGGTCTCGAACTCCTGACCTCAAGTGATCCGCCTGCCTTGGCCTTCCAAAGTCCTGGGATTATAGGCGTAAACCACCTCACCCAGCCTCAACGTCAGTACATTTAATTTGCTTTTCGTTTTTGTTTTGTTTTTAATCTATGTTTGAAAAATCGAAGTACCACTCTGAAAAAATTGGGGGCAGTTTCTTAAAAAATGAAGTTTCTTTAAAAACTTACCATGTGACCCTGCATTTATACTAAAGAAACAAAAACATGTCCACACAAAGACGTGGACATAAATATTCATTGTAGCTTATTTATAATAGCCAAATATTGGAAACAACCCCAATGCCCTTCAGTGGGTGACTGGTTACACAAACGGGTACACCCATACCATGGGCTACCCTACTCAGCGATAAAAAGGAATGAACTCCTAGGCTGGGTGCCGTGACTGACGCCTGTAATCCCAGCACTTTGGGAGGCTGAGGTGGGCAGATCACTTGAGGTCAGGATTTGGAGACCAGCCATGCCAACATGGTGAAACCCCATCTGTACTAAAAATACAAAAATTAGCCAGGTGTGGGAGCAGGTGCCTGTAGTTCCAGCTACTCCGGAGGCTGAGGCAGGAGAATTGCTTGAACCCAGGAGGCAGAGGTTTCAGTGAGCCGAGATCATGCTATTGCACTCCAGTCTGGGTGACAAAGTGAGACTCCATCTCAAAAAAAATAAAAAAATAAAAAAAATAAAGGAATGAACTCCTGATACATGCAACAACTTGAATGGATCTCAAGGGAATTGTGATGAGTGAAAGAGAACCAGTCTTGGCTGGGCGCAATGGCTCATGCCTGTAATCCCAGCACTTTGGGAGGCCAAGGCGGGTAGATTACCTGAGGTCAGGAGTTCATAACCAGCCTGGCCAACATGGTGAAACCCCATCTCTACTAAACATACAAAAATTAGCTGGGTGTGGTGGCAGGTGCCTGTAATCCCACCCACTCAGGAGGCTGAGGCAGGAGAATCACCTGAACCCGGGAGGCGGAGGTTGCGGTGAGCCAAGATCGTGCCATTGCACTCCAGCCTGGGACGACAAGAGCGAGACTCTGCTCAAAGTTACATACCGTGTGATTTTGTGTATGTAACAGTCTCAAAAGGACAAAATTATAAAGAAGCCCAGATTGGTGATCAACAGGGGATAGGAATGAGTAGGGATGGGGGAGGGAGGAAGAAGATGGGTGTGACTATGAAGAGTTAGCACAGGGATGGATGTCCAGGGTAAGGGAACAGTTCTGAATGTCGTCGTGATGCCGCTCACAGAAATCTGCACATGAGATAAAACTGCTTAGAACTAGGAACACATACAAATGTGTGCAGGTAAAAGGGGGAAATCTAAATGAGCTCTGTAGATTGCTACTTTCCTGGTCTTGATATTGTACTAGTTATGCAACATATTATCATTAGAGAAAAGTGGGTTAAGGGTACACAGGAGTACTCTGCACTGTACTTTTGTGACTTCTTGCAAATCTATATTTCCAAATTAAAAGTTTCTAAAAAATTGAAATGACATAAGGTATAAACTGAGAAATTTCACTCATATCCAGTCTCTTGTCTATTGCCAACCGCTTTCATTGGTTTCTAATATAATTGTCCAGTGTTCCTTTATGCAAATAAAAAGCATGTTTAAATCTGCATTTCATTCCCTTCCCTGCATTTTTGCACAAAAGTAAGTGTACCACGTACACTGTTCTGCATTTTGATTTTTTCATTTCCTATATCCTCCAGATGTTTTCCGATCAGTTCCTACATTTTGTTAAGTGGCTTCGACTTCGTTGTATGGATGGATTCATCTATTCAACGAGGACCTTACTGACAGATACTTGGACTGAAAGGAACCCACAAATGGCACGAGGCAGAGGAAGCCAACAGGCCAACAGACTAAAGATCCTCTTGTCCGAGGTGAGCTTTTATTTGTTACTGACAGAGACCCCAAACCCTTCTTAGGTGTCCTTCTGGGAGAGGGTCTCCTGCCATTCCCTTGGCGTTCAGGGATGAGCATGAAGAGAAAAACAAATGAACCAAGAGCAGGACCACCAGGTTCAAGTCCCCACTTTTTACTGCCTTGTCATCTTGGCCAAGCCATTCAGTCCTTCTAAGCCTCAGACAATCTGACAAATGAAGCTAAGCCTGCCAATCTTCACCCACAGGGATGTGGGGAGGCTCAAATGAAAGCAACTGTGTGATACGTCGGTGTTGTGTGGGAAGTTAACAACAAAAAAAGCAAGTATGTGAAAATACTCTAAAAACAAAATATTATACAAATGGATGGTGACGCTACTCAGCAATGTTTCCAAAATGGAAGGGGATTGGTGAGAAACATAAGAAAGAATGGGATAAATGTAAGAAAAGTGTGGCTTCCCTGAAATCAGGACAACCCTTAACACACTAGGGGGTACCATGATGTTTATAATCACGGCAGTGAAAGACTGTAAAGTTACTTAGGCAACAGCTACTCAGCTTGCTAATCCTATCTCCTGCTGGGCCCACACGAATTCCTAGCGGTCCACAGGGACGTAGCAGTTGAGGGCTCTGATAGTTGAGAAGCTACATTCTTTAATTTAAAATTGAAAATAACATCAGACTAAAACTGTCCACTCATCACTCAGGCACGGTAAGCTACTGGTTTATATACACTCTCCCTACAGCAGAGCAAGTGACTTGACCCAGACATCATTCTAATTCCTGGGGGTTAGTGGACCCAACACCTTTCTCTCCCTTGGTTTTCCTTCTGCATGGACGTTAACATTTCACCCCGTGAAGGGAAAAGAAATACTCTACTAAAAATGCGGAAGAGTGGGACGTTTTCCTCTGGGATGGACTCGCAACCCAGGCAGCATCTATCTCTTAGGCTACAAGGGAATAAATCTAGATCTTGCCAACCACCCATTGACTGCGCCCATTGACAGGAATAATGGTCTTCTGCCATTATTTGTGTTGGGACTGTTGAAAGAATATGGCCAGGGAATATTATCCTAGGTTCCAGTCAGGGTTGGCCTGGCTTAGCTATCAATATCAAGCAGGCTCAAGTATTTCCAAGCATGCTGCTAGTGCAGAAAGACACATGGGGCAGGGGAAGGGGAAAAGGGTGGTGAGCAGAGCTAGCAGTAGTTTATGGTGGGATGGGACAAGTCTCCGGAAAGACAGCAGAGGGTTTGGTAGAGGGAAGCAGAGATCCTGAAACAACATGAGATCTTTGTTGTAAATAACGTCTTTCTGGGTCTGGCATGGTGGCTCACGCCTATAATCCCGGCACTTTGGGAGGCTGAGGTGGGTGGATCACTTGAGCCCAGGAGTTCGAGATGAGCCTGGGCAACATGGTGAAAGCCCATCTCTTCTAAAAATAAACAAATTAGCCAGGCACAGTGTCATGGGCCTGTAGTTCCAGCGACTCGGGAAGCTAAGGTGGGAGGATAGCTTAAGCCCAGGAGGCAAAGGTTGCAGTAAGCCGAGATCCTGCCACTGCACTCCAGCCTGGGTGACAGAGCCAGATCCTGTCTCAAAAATAAGAAATAAAAAAAAATAAAAAAAGGCTTTCTGGGTGAGGCTGTTTTTGTGGCTGATCATTTAATAATCTGCTTAACTATATACCTATACCTGCCTTTGAACTTTAAATGTGGTCCTAAAAAACACTGAGGAGAGCAAATCAACTTTTTTACTTTTTATTTTTCTAAAATTAATACATGTGCAGTCAAGCCATGCATAAATGAAAAGTCCCCTTCTCTTCAAAAGCAAAACTGTTAATACTTTCTGATGTTATTCTTGAAGAAATTTTCCAATCATATACAAGCATATATATATATTTCCTTTTCTAAACCCAAACGGAACTCACCTTTTAAATGTGACAAATGGTCTGTGTTTAAGAGAATATGATAAATGTATTGTAAAGAGGACATCAACTCCAAATTAAAATTCTTTGGATTTTTTATTGGATTCACATAAAGCAAAGAACTTATTCACTGGACTGAGAATAGATTGTAATGTTCCATAAGTCATAATTTAATGTGCAATAAGAACCCATGAAGTTGGCCAAAAGTAACACTCTTCTGTTGGGAAAGGTTTTACATTCTTTTATTCTGGATGGATCCTGAATTCTAGATGCTGGGTTTAATGCTTCACACAATGGCACATTTACAAGAGGTACAAAACACTTATTGAGCTTTCAGGGCCACTGTGGGGGGCTTGCAGAATAGCCTCTTTGCAACCCAGAGAATTAATCTGATTCCTCTTTCCTCAGCCCACGCCTACCTCCAACTTAAATTTTACATGAGTAGTTTCCCAAGAGTCCCCACCCCCTCCATTTGCAGAATTAAGGAAGTAGAAGGACTGGAGAGTTCAGTGTGGAAAAACGTGTGGGCTAATCTGCTTGAGACAGCTGTGTTTAGAAAAATTCAGGCTGAAGTGTGGTCTCATGTCTATGTGGCTCTCCATGGACTTTTTTTTTTTCCTAGTATTTTGGCAATAAGGTCTTGGTCTGTTGCTCAGGCTAGAGTGTAGTGTCACAATCATAGTGCACTGCAAACTTGAACTCCTGAGTTCAAGCAATCCTCCTACCTCAGGCTCCGAAAGCTCTGGGATTACAGGTATGAGCCACTGTGCCTGGGAACTTTGAAGATAAGGTTCATCAAACTCTCTTGGTGACCT